TGCCGAAACGCCCTGATCTGTACTTGGCTGTGCAGCTGTGCCTCTCTCCAGCACTCCAGTCAGCACTGGGCTGGTGTTCCCTGAGGGACTCTCGCTTTTCTAAGAAAGCCAGTGAGGTATTGGAGTTCTTCCTCATTTGCTCGGTTTGAAGTCATCGCTCCCGAATCTGGCCGACGAGGACCAGTGGAAAGAATCCAGTTATTTTAGACGCAGGCTCAGCCCCTGAGCAATGGTCTTAGAAACAAACAATCATAGAAACGATCAGATCAGTCCCTCCCCATCCTATCTTGTGTGCATCCTATCGCGCGCGCTTATAAAAACCGTTGACATTGCTCGTTCACACACGAAGTTTCTCATTAAACGTTCATTCTCCGCACCTTTCTTTCCTGTGGGGATCACGGCTGTGGGTTTCTTACCTAGGAAACCGAGGCGTGGCCGCACGAAGCCCAGAATGAAGCAGCCTTGGCTCCCATGTTGCCCAGCACCCACACTCGGAGGTGGATGTGTAGGTTTTATTCATTTAGCGGGTGGATATTCCTGGTGTTTGAGTGCTGCGTGTTCTGGACATGGGCTTAGGCACAGGGCGGGTGGGGGAAGTAATATGATGAGGGGAGTAATATTCAGTCACAAGAAAATACTGTCAGGTATGAAAAGCAAGCTGCCGAATGGCAGGTGACAGTTTCAGACTCTGAGTGGCATTCTTTGAAATGCTGTCTTTGCACAAAAGGCGAAATTCTTCTCTGGAAGCCACACTGTGGTCTCCAGGGCAGGGCTTTCAGCTCTAACTGGTGCTCTTGCGTGCGAGTGGCGAGGCCTACAGACCCGGGCTGTGCTGCAAGGCCCAGGCGGCCAGACTCCCCGCGGGGCCACCGAATGCAAGTCACAGGTGCCCGGCCCGCACTTCCCGTGGGGAGCAAACTGCCCTCCGCCCTGCCCCAAAGAGGCTGCTCTGTGAGGTCTGTGGGGCCCACCAGCTATAAAGGCTGCGGGTCTCCGGCTCCCCCTGCCTGCTGGCCTGGCGCATGCACCCTGCCAAGTTCAGGCAGATCCCAGGGGAGCAGCCCTCCGAGGACCTCCCCAGACATTTGCATCACAAACACCGAAGAGGCCCACCACCCCGGGCTTTGTCAGGGGCTGCAGGGCGGAAAATTCCTGAAGCTGGATCTCCCTCCACCCACCCCTCTTCGCTTTGTCTCGGTGTCTGTGGGCCTCCCGCGCTGGAAAGGAGAGGGGTCCCACCGCCCAGGGAGAGAGATTATCTTCCGCTTGGGAAAGGAATGCCAGACCTTGGGCTGAAATAAGAGGCAGCTGGCCACTGCAAAACAACAGCCTTTCCAGAATCTTCTGTTCTTCTTGTCCTGTCTCTTTAAAAACTGGGTATTGAGAGACACAGGTAGGAAGACCCTCGGTTAGGAAAACAGACATCACAACAGAACAGTTCCTCTTGTGCTCCCGCTTAAGGTGAAGCTACGTGAGGGAGCTGAGGAGTAAGAAGGCGGTGACTGGTGGCCGAGTTTATCTCTGCAGCCTGGTCAGGGCAACTCTCCAGGCCAGGGGGGGCCACAGGAGGGGGAAGGCAGGTAAAACACTCAGGTGTCCAGGCCCCAGGCCAGGAAGCTCTTGAAAAATTGCTGTGCCTGCTTTATATATTCTGCACACACACACATCATGTGATTTATTTTGAAACAGTTCTATTAAAAGATAAACGAGGACATATTGAAAATTCTAAGCATTTGTTTGAGTAAAAATCAATTCCAATTGCTCAGTGCCAAACTGGAGGTGGTGAACCCGAGGGAAAGGCTATTATAGAGAAGAGGCAGGGCAGAACAATTATTTTGATTGGCTACAGTTAAAGTCTAGTTGGCTGATTGGTTGAAAACTTGAGGCAGTTATTAGTTTAGATTTTGGTTTGCTTGCGGAGTCCTTCAAGGCATTGGAGCGACCTCAGTCTGCGAGCCTCCTCCATTTAAGTCACACACTGAAGTTGCAAAGTCAGGGGCCACCTATTGTCCCTTCATACAAAGACGTGAGGCAAGGTAATGCCTCCCACCCAGTATCCTGCCTTTTCCAAACCTCTTTCAGTCTGGAGCTGTTTCTCACTTGTTCCTTTCATTCATGACTTGGGCATTTTTTAAGACTATAGACCAGCCATTTTGTAGAATATCCTCCAATTAGAATTTGTTAAAGGTAATTCATTAAAGTTAATTTTCAGAGAAAGATAAAAGCACGTTTTATATAAAAATGAACACATGTTAAAAGAATTCATTTTACTCATGTGAAGCCAGAGAGCTAGGCAAAGTGTTTTAACCATTTCAAAGGAAAAGTTGAAGGGGCTCAAATTGATTTGGAGCGCAGGAATGTTGAAATGAATTGCAAATGGAGACAAAACTGGTTTTTCACCAGCAGGAAGGAAGTCAATTAAATTACTAACAGACAGGACAAAAAATACATATGCATCAGTTAGACAATAAGGCAGAAGGAAGCTGATAACCCAGAGAGTATGCTACATAAACACTGCATAATTTCCCAGTGAAACCTTTTATTTTTCCTACAGTCTTATCCAAAGTTTAGACCCATACATATGCCTGTGGCTGGGATATCAGATGCATGTGCGTTTTGTTTTTAATTGCATCATATATATTTTTTAAATATATATTTTATTAATTTTTTAAAGAGAGGAGGGAGAGGGAGAAAGAGTTAGAAACATCAATCAGATGCCTCCTGCACACCCCCACTGGGGATGTGCCCGCAACCAAGGTACATGCCCTTGACCAGAATCGGACCTGGGACCCTTGAGTCCACAGGCCAACCCTCTATCCACTGAGCCATATTGACTGCACAGGGTGCCTCTCTGTCTTGTTACTGCGGTTTACTTTGACCACTTAAGATATGCCACCCCTTTGTCTTTAATAATTCTGGAGTAATTAACACCATGGAAAATGGTACCGAGAGACTGGATTCTTCAGCAGCACTGGCACACCGCCCTCTAAAACAGTGTGGGCGTATCTGTTCCTGTTGTATTCAGTGGGCCACCATCTATCAGCTATTATTTATTCTGATGCTCAGTTTGTCCCAGATCTAGCTGTGGAACCTTCTCAGGCTGTCTCTGTGTCCTGACCTGCCTCCCATTATTCTGTGAGCATTTCTTTACTTTCAGGCTCAGTGAGATGTTCCAGACTGAGCTAACTCTTTCCTTGTCCCAGCCCTGGCAGCAGCCATTCTCCAAGGAGGCCAGTTCCCTGCAGTGGGAGATACTGTTGTTCAGTCCTTCCCAGAGGGCTCCCCTGAGGTCACCTACTCCTTTACCCAGACCCACAGCTTTCTGAAGGAGGAAGGAAGGAAGCCAATGCACTTTTGGTTTTGTTTGGTTTTGTTTTTATTTTTAAAAAATATATATTTTATGGATTTTTTTACAGAGAGGAAGGGAGAGAGAGGGACAGAGAGCTAGAAATGTCGATGAGAGAGAAACATCGACCAGCTGCCTCTTGCACACCCCCTACCGGGGATGTGCCCACAACCAATGTACATGCCCCTGACCAGAATCGAACCTGGGACCTTTCAGTCTGCAGACCAATGCTCTACCACTGAGCCAAACCGGTTTCGGCTGTTTTTGTTTTTAGAAAGAATGGCAGGTAAAAGAGGAGAGGAGGAAGAGAAAGATCTCTTTATATATATATATATATATATATATATATATATTTTTTTTTTTTTTTTTTTTTTTTAAACCCCATTTTGCCAAAGACTAGATCTGATCTTTTCATGGTCAGTTAGGTTTCTGAAGTGGTTACGTTTTATGTGGTTGCACATGTGAAATGTAACTTCTAAAGAGCCAAATTATTCATCAACCATTTATTGAGAGCCAGCTCTGCATGTGCCTGACGTTACAGCGGTGAGTCACAGTGCAGACAGAGCCCTACCCTCGAGGGGCTCCAGGAAAGACAGATGTCCTAGGTCATGCAGCTGGCGTGTCCTCAGCACATGCAGACATGGTGGGCTCAGTCTGCCAGGCAGGACGTCAGCGATCAGGGAGGCTCCCCGCGCCTGAGAACCAGGACAGCTGAGCGTGGGACTTAGTTAGTTGGACAAGGAGGGGTGGGTGTTGCATACAGAGGGGAGAACATACTTAATGCCAGAGACTTGGCAGACTTGGGGAATGCAAGTGGTTTGACAAGGTGAGAATCGCTTGCTTCCTTATCTTTAAAAAAATATATTTTATTGATTTTTTACAGAGAGGAAGGGAGAAGAATAGAGAGTTAGAAATATCGATCAGCTGCCTCCTGCACACCCCCTACTGGGATGTGCCCGTAACCAAGGTACATGCCCTTGACTGGAATCGAACCTGGGACCTTTCAGTCTGCAGGCCGATGCTCTATCCACTGAGCCAAACCAGTTTCGGCTCCTTATCTTCTTGACCCCAGTGTTTTAAGAAGCATAATCACCCTTTCTTGCAGACAAGATGTGTCCATGGCACGCTTTTCTTGCAGGCTACCATCCTGGAGTCCCATCTATTGTCCAAGACTATTACCATGTCTCAGGATGTTATTCTTCAGAATTTATTTCTTTCAAGAAAAGAGAAAGTAAAATCAGTGAGCATTTTACTCAAGAAAGATAATCAACTCCGTTTTCATTGTTGAGGATACTCTTAAGAACAACTCTAGTACTTTTAGAGATCACCCTTTTCACTGAAAGTGTACCTTCTTCTTATTATCTCTAGGGATCCGCTCCTCCCTCCCCTCGCCCTTGAACACATACCGATTCTGAGTCAAATGGAGTGGTCCATTGCTCTTACTCATAAGCGAATGCTGGTTACAGTGGTTTAACCCTTATGATTCTTATCAGTAGAGAATACCAATCAGTATATTACTTTGAATAAAATGTTACCTTATGGTGGTTAAGTCTTTTTATATCTAATCTTAAGCTTTCTTCAAGATATGTAATTTGTGTAAAAAAATTATTGCTTTCAAACATGCTCCTCACATGATTGTTCTTCAATTTTGCAGACGATACCAGAAGTTGCAGAAGATCATGAAGCCTTGGTAAGAATTTATGATTGCTTGATTCAGCTTATATAACACGCTCCTTCTGCGTCGTTAGTCTGTCCTCAGATAACTGTGCATGTAGATATTTTGAGTGATTTTATTTTGCTGTTTGATGTTCTTATAAACAGGTTCTTTAAAAATTTATTTCCTCTTTCTTTCTGCTTTGTGGCACAAAGGGAACTTTATGTCTGTAGCCACAGAATGAGCACATCGGGATTGCTACCCTTCTCCTGGGGCGAGACTGGGCATAATTTTATGTATTGCCTTAGACAGAAACCTTCTTTTTTGTGGCCTATGTGATGTTCAAAGTCAGAAGCCTTTGATTCTCTTCAGTGACTCAGTGAAAACAAACACCCCACTCAGGATTGAAGTGTGGAGTGAAAGCTGTTGACTTTGTGTCTGAGAACGGGCTGGGTCACCTGTCTGTACTGCACTGTGTGCTGTTTTGTCTGGACCCTCAGAACCTCTGTCTCAAGAGTCTTTCCTCCTCGCCGCCTTTCTCACTCACTAAGCAAGAGTCCAGACAGGGCCCAACACCTGCTCTGTGGTGGGCTGGACACATGTCCATTCTGCCGAGTTGTTAAGCAGATAATTTTAGTTTGAGAAGGAAGCCTGATTTTTTTAAGCCCTGAGGAAAAAGCCTGGTCACCTTCAGGGTAGGTAGTGCTCTTGAATTCTCTACCCACCCCTCTCCCAGCACAGAGAAAGGTTAGGGGCAGGGACTCGTTAGGCATTGCAATAAAGTATGGAACACCAGCTTGGGTTTCTAGGATAAAGCTCCGTAAGTCTCCCTTTTATATGTGTTCTTAATATCAGAGAAGTGCTTCATGGTGATAACAGTAGGAACCATCTCTTATGGAGCTTACTCTGCCCCAGGCTCCGTCACCTGCTTATACTCATTGCTCTAATTCACACACACACACACACACACACACACACACACACACACACACCATCAGTAAAATGAGTACCATTTCCTTAGTGCAAAACTAAAACCTGGTGGCAGGACTGGGATTTGAACTGAGTTTATCTCTAACAACTTCATATCACTTGGTAATGACAAGGAATATGGGGCTCTGAAGCCAAACGATGTCCTGACATTTACCTGCCAGTGGTTTTATTCCCGGGTGTGGAGACGTCAGAAGTGGGACTATGTGTGAGCCATGACTTCTGCCGTCCTGTCATATACCAGTCCGTGCTCAGGGCCCTGGTCCCTGAGATGGCAAAGGAGTTAATCCCACAGTCATGAGGCTATTATCTCCCTGATGGCAGAACCAGACAAGACAATGGAGGAAATAGAAGTTGTAGATCATCAAATGAGCCGAGGTGCAACCCATTAACAATATGGTCAAGCAGGTATAGGAAGGATAATAGTCTGCAGCGAATGAAGTTTTGTCCCGGGAATAGTTTAATGTTTGAAAGTCAGTCCTTTGGTGTAATTCAGCGTTTAGTAAAATAAAGGAGAATAAAATAATCTTAATAGATACAGAAAATAATGATAGGTACAGAAAAGGTTTTATTAATCCAACATTCATTCTTAAAAATCTCAGCAGTCTAGAAATGGAGATAATTTCCTCAGCCTGATAAAGGCAGTGAACAAAACACATTATTCTTAGTGTGAGGAGACTGAATTTCCTCCTCTGAAAGATTGAAAATCAGGCAAATGTGTTTTGCACTTCTGTTCAGCATTGTAGTGGAGTGTTTAGCCATAGCAATAAGTCAAGAAATAAATAAAAGACATGATGGTCAAAAAAGAAGAAGTAAACTCTAATTATAGAAGATGTTCATGTAAAAAATCCAAAGAAATCTGTAAAAACATTGCTAGATCTCAGTTGAATTTAGCAAGATTTTTGGATACAACATCAGAATATACAAGTGAGATATTTTTACACATTAACAACTAGAAAATGAAATCTTAAAGCTTTCTTTATAAAGTATCAAAAATCATAAAGTATTTAGGAATAAATTTAACAAGAGCTGTACTGTCTGTTTGCTGAAAAATAAAATATATTACTAAAAGAAATTAAAGAAGACCTAAAGAAGTGGAGAATGTACCATTTTGTGGTTTGGAAAACACAGCATTTTGAAGAAAGCAATTCTTCCTAAATTAATCTGTAGGTTCAATCAAGAACAATTTTTAAAAAAGAAATTATAAACCAATCTTAAAACTTAAAGAAGTGCATAGACCTTAGAATAACCACAGCAGTCTTAAAAAACAACCACCAAGACCAATAGAGTTGTTGGATTTCACCTGATTTCAAGACTTACTACTCTAAAGTTAGTTATTAAGACAGTATGATATTGTTATAAGAGGACAGACAGGCCAATGGAATAAAGAGTCTGGAATTGATCCACAGTAAAATTTTAACAACGGAGCCAAGAGATTGTTGGCTGACATAAATCATGCTATGATTCGGAAGGTCTAGCGGCATAGATATCCATACATTTCAATGTATATAAATTTTATCACAAACAAAAGAAACCACAGTGAAATCCTCACTAACATCATCAATAGGTTCTTGGAACTGTGGCAAAATGTCACAGAAGGAAACCAATGTTACCACAGACTAATGGATATCAACAAGACTTAAGTTTCTACAGCATCTCATCAATGAGATAACAGCATGGCATTGAGCTAAGTGACGTTACTCAAGAACGTGGCTGACATGGAAAACTCAGAGGCAGGCAGGACAGTGTTCAGTACCGCTGGCCGTTAAGAATAAATGGCGTGTGATTTATTGATCACTTTAAAACTGGCCTGTCTTTTCACCTTTCCTCCACTTACCTTGGCCACGGCCCCCAGAGGAAACATTTGGAAATGCTCTTCTTGTATAAACTTAGCAGCATAAATTCAAATGCTACGGGAGTGGCTGACATCTGTTGGAATGAAGACAGTCTCTGCTGAGCTGATGAGAAACATTTATTCGAGAGTTTCCAGCACACATGGCGTGTTGGCCGGTGACCGCGACTCTCCGCCAGCATAGAGGGTTTGCAGTCGGTGTAATCTGTGGCAGTCGGCGCTACACAAATTCTAGGTTAGCACTTGATGCAAAATAAATAAACCACCCAAACAGGAATGCTCCCTTCTGTGCCAGGCCCTTGCTCTGTATTTGCACCTCTTGGGCCTGGATCTTCTCCACCGGCACTGACGTCAGAGCTCAGCCCGGGGCTCCTGCCTCCGTCTCTTTGGAGCTTGGTTTCTCCTCCAGAAGTGGACGGAGGCCCCGGGTCTGGTGTGGTGAGAGCTCTGTGGCTGCCTCATTTGAAATGAAGTGATTGCGTCCACTGACTTGGAATGTTAAAACATTTTGCTTGGCCGCCCTTTCTTTGCACCTGAGGATTTGAAGTTGAATTTTGAAAAAGTTCTCCTTCTTAGAAACCTAGTATGCCATCCAGCAAGCCATCGGAATGAATTATATGTTACCCGTGCACTGTACAGATAGTATATAATCTGTGTGTTATATATTTAAGAACACAATATGCAACATAATATATATGTAGACCTACTATAGCTAATAACATGTGTGTATCATATCATGCCTAAGTCATCTCTATATAATGTGTAATTACATATTGAAATATGTATACACATGTATGTGTACATGTTATTAGGTAATACTTATGTAACATGTAAATGCCATTCTATAACGTTTCTATGAGATGTTATTAGATGGCCCACGGAGTAGTCCTTCCTCGGGCGCTTTGGTGTGTGATGTGAAGCTCCCTCAGTTAGCTCCGTTCGCACTAAGGAGGATTAGCACAGGAAGCCCTGTCCGCTGTGTCAGAAATGGCGCTCCCTCCGTCACCACCTGGAGACTAAAAGCCGGGCCCCAGGTCAGCTTGGAGATTTGGAAACCAAACTACACTCTTTCCCGTTCTCGCCATCTTCTGCCAGAGCCCTTCCAGGAGGGGTCTGTAGGCAGAGCGCCAGAGCATTGGGGACGAGGGGTCACCCCCAGATGTGACTTCAGCCACGTGCATTGTGGGTTCCTTGAGCAGGGAACAGAGTCGTTTCCCCTCCGCATAACCAGAGAGCGTTAATACCCTGCATCCTTCGCTTCCAAAGCAGATGGTGAAGACTAACAGTGTCTCTGACCCCAGCCTCCACCAGCTGCAGGGATTGGAAGGAAGAATTTGTTCCCCAAAGCGTGTGTATTCCTTGCCACGGCCTGTCCGCTGCTTGCTCTGTTAGCAATGACCTTGAGGCCATCTGGGCATGGTGTGGAGCCACCGGCGTGTCCTCCAGTCTCAGACCTGGGAGAGTGGGAGCGTGGAGGTCTCTGAGCGTGCCTGATGTAGGCAAATGGCAACTATGAGTAATATGGTTGCTGGTTTTCCTCACTTTTAAGTTAAAAAAAATGTAGCTAATATTACTTACTACTAATGCTCTGCTAAAGTAATAAATCAGCTAATAGTTTTATGATGAATATTATAATTCTATAATAACGTATCCACAGTAATGCCAGCACAATCTTTTAATCTTACTAATTGCTTTATTGCCTGGCTCTCTTATTTCCTTTTCTTTCCCTCCCCGCAGCAGATATTTGTGTTAGCTTGTCTCATTGCCAATAGAAAGAGTCACTCTGGAATTCTTGTTTACCCTCTCTCGCTGCTCTTCTCTTCCCTTTTCTCCCGTGTTTCTCCATCCGTGTTCTCTCGTTAAGGAGGCCTGCTTTCTGGTCTGGACGTTCTTTTCTGGGGCTGGTCCTCTGATGCCACCTAGGGGCACCTGCAGGCTGGAATGCCCAGCTGTGACTCAGGAAAGAGCCTCTAAAAGCATTTGCTGCTTTTCTCTCTGGCCCGCGCTGTTCGGCTTTTCTTGCACATTTGTTTTTCTGGCTCCAAATACAGATCGTTGTTGTCACATTGAAGACAAACACTTGAAAATCACAGGCTTCCTTTATCTTTCAAAGCATCGCTTTCGCATAGCGGTCAGAGCCGGCGGGCAGAGGTCCCTTCCACCATGCTGCACCCTGCCTGAAGGTGGTTTCTCCCCCCAGCCGTCCGCTAGGTGGGCATCACCACCCTCTGCCCTCTGACCGGGGAGCCACCGCTTACCCGTTTCCGTCCATCGCGTCTCACCCCCTCTGACCTCGGGCTGCTTTGGTCAGGGCCTTCCTCAGAGCCGCTGCTTCTCTCCTGGGCTTCTTTTCAGGGTTACAGCCCCTAAGAGGCAGGACCCCAGGGTCCTTACTGAGGCTGTGCTGAGAGCACAGGGCGGGAGGGAAGTGGTGAAGCTGTTTTATTTTATTTTTAAAAAATGTATTGATTTTTTACAGAGAGGAAGGGAGAGGGATAGAGAGCTAGAAACATCAATGAGAGAGAGACATCCATCAGCTGCCTCCTGCACACCTGGGGATGTGCTCGCAACCAATGTACATGCCCTTGACCGGAATCGAACCTGGGACCTTTCAGTCTGCAGACCAATGCTCTATCCATTGAGCCACACCAGTTTGGGCGGTGAAGCTGTTTTAAAAGAAACACGGACCTGCTTTCCGATCGATTAGTTGACATCTTGAAGTGCAGCAATTGTGGTAAAATGGGCCCACAGATTGAAAATCTGAACAAGCAACTCTGTTTTAGAAACCAAGCCAATGGGTAGTGCAGTTGTAGGCAGTGTATATAGAAGGACTGAGACCTGTGACCCACTGAACTCTGAGGGTTTCAGGTTTATCATGATGCACGCTCACAGGAGCTGAGTGTAAGATGTGAGGTATCTGAAAGTGTTGTTCTGAAGGCACCGGGAATCAGGGGGCTGTCTGATGGGGGCACAGCTGCCTTTCCCTGCGCTTGCTGCCTCTCTGTCTGGTGCTCATCTCAGACCCTCCCACCGCCCTCCTCCCAGCAACCTGCTGCAGCCACAGACACTGCAGAGAAATGCCGCCAGCGTCACACAGAATGTCCTTCCTACACACCGGCTGTCTCTGTGAACTCGTGTCTGTGTGTGCGCTTACCTAGACACACACACACACACACACACACACAGGCACACAGGCACAGGCACACAGACACAGGCACACACACAGATACACGGAGGCCATGCATCTCCTGTGCCAGGTGCTGACACTCGGAAGAGAATCGTTCTCACCTTCCCGGTTGGGCACCCGCGGACAATACCAGAGGCCCATTGCCTTTCTCAGCCCCCTAACTCGGTGGCGGGAAGCTTTCCTTAAGCCCTCAGGTGCCGAGCTTCCCGGGCACTGTGGAGGCTGCCCGCGGCCCGGTGGTTCCATGGGATCGCTGTTCAGCTCCCTGCGGAGCGGACAGGCTCCCGGAGGGGAGTGCCTTCTGGGCAGCAGGCGCAGCTCCCCAGGCAGAGTCACCGTGAGCCCCGGTCAGTCCCTCTGTGCCGGCTCCTGGGGAACCTGGGAGGCCCTGGCATCCATCCTGGACACGGGCTTGGACCACTTTCTGTGGCCCAGCTGCGGCCCCAGTGACCTCTCACAGCTCTGCTGTGTCCGTTCCCTGAGGCTTTGTCACTCCTGTGTCTCTCCTCAAGCTCGGCTCCGGGCCCGTGACCATGTGCCTCCTGTGTTTTCCAGCTTTGGAGACATGCTGTCCTTCACGCTGACGGCCTTCGTGGAGCTGATGGACCATGGGATCGTGTCCTGGGATACGTTCTCGGTGGCGTTCATCAAGAAGGTAAGGCATGCCGGAACCGGTGTGGCTCAGTGGTAGAGCATCGGTCTGTGGACTGAGGGGTCCCGGGTTCGATTCCGCTCAGGGGCATGTGCATTGGTTGCTGGCACATCCCCGGTGGGGGAGTGTGCAGGAGGCAGCTGGTCGATGTTTCTCTCTCATCGATATTTCTAGCTCTCTATCCCTCTCCCTTCCTCTCTGTGGAAAATCAGTAAAATATATTAAAAAAAAAAAAAAAAAAGAAGAAGGTAAGGCACACTGTGCTTCCTTGGGCCTGAATCCTCCCCTCCCTCCCTTCCTCTCTCCCTTCCTTCCTTTCTCTCTCCCTCCCTCCCTTCCCTCCTCCCTCTCTCTCTCCCTTCCTCGCTGGTCTCTTGTGACTTTGATCGCCTTGAATGGTTCCGGTGGGCTATACTGTAAAGCCCTCCGATCTGGGTTTCTTTGATCCCTCCTCACGGTCCAGGGCAGGCTGTGCCTTCGTGGGAAGAATGCCAGAGCAGTAACGTGCCCTCCTCTGTGCATCCAGGGGGGGCCTGCTGTCTGTATGTCTTCACCGGCAATGCTGACCTTGACCGGAGGCTGGGATGGTATCTGCTGAGCCCCCTGTGACATTACTCCTTGTCCTTGTGAAGCTGACCCACAGCTCCAGGGAGACGCTGCCTGGAAATGGGCCGTCCCGGAGCCCCTGTGTGTTGGTGTGGGGCTGGGATTGGAGGCCGCTGCACGATGCTGTATGATTATTTCAGACCAGAGAGGTTGGAAGCCCAGGGTACTTTGGACAGACCCCCGAGTCCTCTTGCCTTCCGCATGGGCACAAAGCCAAAGATGACGAGTGATGGGAACATCTTAGAAAATAACCCCAAAGGGCGAGGCTCCTTTTCGCCTGTTCTTGTCAAAATTGGGAAAAGAAGAGGAGTGGCCGTCAGTGAGAAAGCCAAGGCCATGCTGGCTTTTCTGAGGGGCTTTCCTGGGGGTGGGGGTTGGTTGGGGTGGGGGGCAGGGAGTGGTGATGGAAGCAGAGAACAGACTCCGAATTCTGTCTCTGGTCAAAGTCTGGAGAAGCCAGTTCCGCCTGGAGATGCCGAGTTTTGTGGGTGTTTGACACCCATTCAGAAGGAGCTAAACGTTTGTGTAAAACACTTACCGAAGGCAACTGATCGATGTTTCCCTCTCACATGGGTACTCTCTCTCCCTCTCCCTTCCTCTTTCTCTAAAGTCAATAAAAATTTGCTCAGGAAGAAAGATAATGCTCTGAACAAATGTCATTCAATCATTTCACAGAAACACATGGAGGTCTGTGCCGGGCTCTGGGGACCAAGGCGAGGAGAAAGCCATGGTCCGCCTCCCAAGGAGTCACAGGGAGAGCCAGGCAAATGCCCCCCAGTCACAGAAGTGGGACCAGAGCTGGCACAGGGGCAACCCCAACAGCCCCCGGGAGGGGACAGCAGGAGGGAGCCCTGCACCCCACCTGGGAGTGGGGGGGAGGAAGGGAGGGCTCAGCAAGCGGGAGGAAGTGCTCAGAAGCCATTCTTTTCCCTCTGGGAAGCAAGGGCAGGTGTGAGATTTGGGGGGAGGGGGAGGCGGGGGAACCTAGGCCACGGAGTCCTCGTCTCCTGCCCAGAAATAACAGGACTCTGTCCTTCTCTGGAGGGCCTCCTGCTGGGACGGAAAGACAGCATGGTGGGTGCACACAGACGGCTCCCAGGAACCCCCCAGAGCAGTGCTGTCACAGCGAGGCCAGGCGGCATTGGGGCTGGAGGAAAGGACGGGATGTATGGAGTCAGTCACCCGGGGACGGACAAGGCGCTTAACGTGTTAAATGATGAGACCTGGTTAGAGAGAATGACAGTCATTTTAATTTGCTGACTGCTTAACACGCTAAGGGCCATGTCAGTGACTGAAGCGGAAAGGAAGATAAAACAGGCTAGGTGCTTAACGTGTTAAGAAAATGGTTGGTTTCCGCTTGCTGAAATTAAACGAAAAGCCATCTTAGATCCAACGATGACTCTTTAATAAGAAGTAAGGTATTTTTCAGAAGGCAGTACGTTTAGCAAGTCGACGTGCTGCTCGTTCCCCGTCATTCTCCTCCCCTTGCCTTGCCACTTGGATCTCAACCCTAAATTGAATTTGAAAACAGTCATCAGAAAATGACTTTATAATTGATGGTTTTTGTAAGGTTCACTTCTTTTATTCAGTAGCTGGATCAACGTCAGGGCCCCGACTACCCAGAGGTTGTGTGCAGGCAGCTGTCTTTTAAATGGAGCTTTATCCGGACAAGAATCTGGTGACAAAAGACGCTTATCTCTGCGGTACAGACTCGGCTCCCCATTAATGCCGAATCCATGCTGCTTGGAGGAGGCTGTGTCCCCTGCCAGCCCCGTCTCCTGCTCACGGCTTCACCTCTTGGTTGTGGACTTAGATTCTAGTTGCCAACTTTGTTTGCAATAAGCAACATCATTTCGTAAACTGTGAAACTTGGAATTTTTTTTATGCCAGTCTGTAATGTAATTTTTTTATGCCAGTATGTCAGTATGTAATAATTTTTAAAAAATATTTTTATAATTGATTTTAGAGATGGAGGAAGAGAGAGAGAGAGGAGAGAGAGAATCAATGTGAAAGTGAGCATCCTCCTGCACACCCCCTACCATAACCACCCTGGCATGTGCCCTGACTGGGACTCGAACTGGCAACCTTTCAGTGCCCGGGACGGCGCCCCACCCTCTGAGCACACTGGCCAGGCCATGTAGTTGCTTTCAAAGACCTGGCTACTTAAGGAGAGGACAGGAAGGCATGGAGAGAAAAGAAATGGAAATAAAAACTCCCCAAGCCCCCAGAACTTTTCTGAAGTACAAGTTGGTTCTCTCCTCGCCAAACACAACACCGGGGCCATTTCTTGGCAGGAGAGCCGCACGCGGAGCCCTGGACCCGGCTCTGCAGGAGGCCAGTCCTCCCGCCCAGCTGCCAGCGCCCGACACGCATCCAGCGTGTGGCTTAGACCCAGTCATTTTGCCTCTTAGAAATGTGCGAGGTTTCCAGGCCTCTGCCGGGGGCTTCCAGCTCTGCCAGGAGCCCGGGCGCCCACCGTGCGCTGCCGCTGTGGGCACAGAGGAGAACAGACCTCGTCCGGAGCCGCTCGGAGAGGGTTACTGACTCATGCACTGTGACGGCCCTTAGCTCTGAGGCCACCCAGATGTTCCTCTGTTGTGTTGGGGTAACCTTTCCACTGAATGGAAGCAGAGTGTGTAATTACTGCTGACCCCTGACCTCTGCTTCCTCTCCCTGCAGTCCTACTTTCTGGAAGCTGTGCTTTGCCTGGCTCACACTTTGTCGCCTAAGTGGGCCAGAAGTACAGTGATGGAGCTTCAGAATCGTTCAAGGCAAAGAGCCCGATGGTGTGGCTATATTTGATGGAGCATTGACCTATGAACCGGAGGTCAGGGTTCAATCCCCAGGCAGGGCCCATGCCCGGGTTGCAGGCCTGATTCCCACTAAGTGGAGTGCAGGAGGCAGCCAGTCAACGACTCTCATCATTGATGTTTCTATCTCTCCCTCTTTCTTCGTTCTGAAATCAATATATATATATATATATATATATATATATATATATATTTAAATATATATATTTAAAGGCAAAGTCTCTGCTAGATTATAAGGTTCTTGAAATTAGAAATCACGTGGGTTTTGCTCCTTTCTCTTCTCAGATCTCAGGGCAGTGTAAGCCTGTTTGATGGCACACAGGGAATGCCTGTGACTCTGATGAGTGGAGAGAGGGTGGAGGCTGGCGGTGGGGCAGGAGCCGGACAGGAGGCTCTCAGGTGGAACATTCTCCGAGGAGTCTTAGGGAGACATGCAGATTTATGAGATGAGAAAAGGGGAGTGGGGGGAGGAGAGAAGGAGTGCGGAGGCCACAAGCGGCTGGCTCTGGGAGTGCTTCCATTGCCCACAGGCACCCGATGTGCTGGGGGAGCGAGAAAGGGGGGATGGGGGGTTGGGGGAGGGTGAGGGCGACATTTCTCTCCTGCTTGGAAGTGGTCTGCGAGAGGGGTTAAGCCTGAGCACAGAGAGGGAGGGGGCTTTCCTCAGAGGAAGGCGCCTGGGAAAGAAGGCAGTGTTGGCAGCCAGAGGTAGTCCAGGGGAGCAGACCGAGGAGGAAGGCGGGCTTCCAGGGCCAGTAAACACGTCTGGAGAGGTTTATTGGCCGTGAAATGGGTGAAAGTTGTCGGCAATGGGCCAGCAGAGTCCTTTTGAGCATCTTAAATGTCTCATATTCTTTCCTGCACTTTATATTATAAAATAACGGTGTTTGGAATATAAAGTTGTAATGTTACTGTATTTTGCGTCATTTATTTCACACCCTCTGAGATCCAGACATACGTGGGGAAAGGGGGGGGTGTCGGTACTGGTACCCTGCTTTCACCAGGGAGTCGCTGGGCTGGAGACAGCTGGACGGTCACAGCCACTGCCGGGACGCCTGCCTTCTGCCTCGTGCGGGGCTGGATGCGGAGCAGCGGTCGGCGGGCGGTGTGGAGGGGGACATTAGTGTCCACGGGGAAGCAGCAGGCTCCCGTCCGTCACGGGACACAGTACGCAGCTGTTAGGAGATCAGCCATTATGCTGCTGTGATAGCAGCCCGGGGTGTGAGTTGTCACCAGCCAGTAATAACTTGTGACGAGGCCTCTGAAATAAAACCTGCACGCGGCCCATTATGCTAACCCTCACTTCGTGTCTCCCCGATGGGGTGATTTACGTTGGAGGCCTGAGCGATGAATTCCTTAGGGGATGCATCTCAGAGCTTCAGCTGTGATGCTGACTTTTCACACCGCTACCTTGAAGGCCTTCCCTGTTTGCTAACTTTTGGGGAGAAGAGGAGAGTTTGTTTTAACCACATAAATGAGAGCGCGGGGGACGCGTGCTCCGCGGAGGGGCCGCAGGCCGGCAGCCGGCAACGGAGAAGTTGCCAGTTGAATTGTGTCGACAAGTGTGATTTGTGCGTAATGGAGTGGCCTGGGGATGGAGAGAAATGGCTGCATGTGTGGAAATTACTGTCTCAGAGAAACACAGGCGTCCTCACACCGCACAGTTGGTCTTCCCTATGAATGGGTTTCACATTCAGGGATTCAGCCAGCCGCAGATAGAAAATATCCGGGGGAAGAAATTCCAGAAAGTTGTGAAAAGCATCACGGGCACCAGGCCTGTGCTGAATGCCCTCAGCTGCAGGGGCGTGCAGGCAGAGCCTGCTGAGGCCCGTGGGCAAACACCGTTCCATGTCATACTGCTCCATTACACACAGAGGACCTGAGAGCCCACGGGTTTTATCCGAGGGGGTCCCAGAACCGGTACCCCTTGCATACATAGAGACTGTTGTATGTGTTGAAATCATTTGCTCCAAAAGCTAAAACTCAGATAAATCCTGGAAAACTAGACAGAATCATTCTTTGAAGCTGTCCCCTTGAAAAAGGTGCTTACAATGGAATTGCAGGAATGGGGTGTGCATGGCGCTTTGTGTAATGCCATCAAGCATCCTTGCTGGCTCCGTGTGCCCTTTGCTGTCCCGCTGTCCCTGCAGCTACTTTTTACCTCCCGGGGCCGGTGTTTCCTATCAGAGCTCACGATTCCCCTGACTCGCTCCCCTCTGTCCCTCTCTGCCCTGCTGACCGCATGCGGTCACCTGTGTCCCTCTTGGGTTTTCAGATAGCCAGTTTCGTGAACAAGTCGGGCATGGACACCTCCATTCTGCAGCGGTCCTTGGCCATCTTGGAGTCCATGGTGCTCAACAGCCACGACCTCTACCAGAAGGTGGCGCAGGAGATCACCATCGGCCAGCTCATCCCCCACCTGCAAGGGTAAGCGTGCCGAGGCCCCTGGGCAGGGAGAGGCTCACATGGAATGCTCGGGACACGTGTCTACCGCTGGGCCCCGTGGCACTGCAATGGCGGGTGCTTGCCGCTTGGTGAGCGCCGTGCCCATTCTTGGCACAGTGCTGGCCGCAGTGCCTGGCCCTCAGGAGGCACGCGGTTTTGATCAGTGTTAGAAGATAGCCACAGTTTTACTTTTTTAAAAAACCTATTTTTATTGATTTCAGTGAGGAAGGGAGAGGAACATCAGTGATGAGAGAGAATAGATTGTGGCCTCGGGGAAAATTAGCACGTGCTCTAAAAGGGTGCTTTTGCGTGCAACCTCTCTAGGGATAGCGGCCATTCACAGTCCCCCACGTGTGCAGAATCTTATCTTTTCTTTTCTCTTTTCTCTGAACCTCGAGGGCACATTTGGGCACAGTTCACTTCCTCTCAGCGGAGAGTTCTTTGCTTGCCACGCGCTGTGCTGAGGATCGTATGCACATTCCCTCACTTTATTCCGGAAGCGGCCTCTGGGATCACTGTTGCTTCCCTCCCCGGTGCTGAGATGCGGGAACCGTGTCTTAGGGACACGCCAGGAAATCGTCCAACGCCACCCAGCCAGGCGGGTGCCCGGGGCCTGACCTTCATCCTGCCCAAGGCCTGTTCCCAGGGACTCCTCCCAAAATGGTCTGCGCGAGTAGCTCAGAGCTGCCCTGTTTGTGCCTGAGCTCTCCTTCCTTCCTTCCTGTTTCCCAGGTGGCTTCCATTAGGTCTGCACTCCATTTGCAATTTCTGATTTCATCCCAGTGCAAAGCCAATGTGTGTAAACATAAAACCTGATCTTCTTGTCATTAGAAAGTTTCTTTTTGGAAGTAGATGCTTAGCGTATGTAATGTCATTGCCATGGAGACAAAGCCGTTTCCATTATAATAAGCCTAGGACTTGGGGACAGCCAAGTCTCCTTCCAGATGTACTTCATGCATCAGATAGAAAACACACACACACACACACACACACACACAGATACACTCACACACACACATAACACACACATACATACACACACACACACATAGATACACACACACACATGGGTTATGTCCACTGAGTTCACTTTTCTTTTTTTAAAAATATATTTTTAATGATTTTGGAGAAGAGGGGAGAGGAAGAGAGAGATAGAAACATCAATGATGAGAGAGAATCATTGATTGGCTGCCTCCTGCAGGCCCCACACGGGATGGAGCCCACAACCCAGGCCTGTGCCCTGACCGGGAATCAAACCATGACCTCCTGGTTCACAGGTGCCAGCTGGGCTGAGTGCACGCTTTCCTCCCAGCAGAGGAGGAGGGAGAGGCCAGCTGGCCACCTGTGCTTTCCGGGTGGTCTCCCCTAGCAGTGTGTGTCTGCTGGGCTATGGCAGTGGTCAGCAAACTGCGTCTCTCGAGCCGTAATTGCCCCCTCACCACTGTTTCCAGCCTCGTGGAGATGGAAGTACGTTCCCAGTGCCCCTGTGTTTCTGGGCCTGCCTTTCTCTCTCCCCTCTCTGGGAGAGGGGACCATAAACTTGACCATGCTCTGACACAGGCATATCTCCTTGACTTTTCGTGTTGTCTGCATCTCCCAGCACAGACCAGGAGATCCAGACCTACACCATCGCCGTGATCAACGCCCTGTTCCTGAAGGCGCCCGACGAGAGGAGGCAGGTACGTGGCATTTCGTTGTCTGACGACTGTGCCCAGGAATGGCCACTGTGGGTGCAGACAGAGCCTCCCCTGCCCACCCCAGGCCCTCCCTGGGCCTCCTGCTGCTCTGTGGTCTGGCTGGCCAGCCTGGCACCATACCCAAACCCAGGGGCCCAAGGGGGCATGCGCAGGCCCTGTCTGAGGGACAAGGCTAGGAATGTCCCCATGGCAGAGCAATTCGTCAAACAAAGCCAGTGTAGACACCCCCAAACAAACCCATGACAGCCCTGCGGCCACCGTGGGAGCAGGGGAGGAAGCCCTGTGACCTTGTCATGTCGCTGACTGCTCATCGGGGCAAGAAGGGCGTGTGCCCACTTCTCTGATGAGGAAACTGAGACCCTAAGAGATGTCAGCTCTGCCCCGGGGCCCATAGGGTGGACGGAGACAGAACACACAGGTTGTGCCACCACGGGTTGTCCGAGGGGCTCTTAGCTGTGGTGTTTCTGCTGTCCGGGCGTGGACGTGGCTGGGAGGGTGGGCGGTTCCTTCTCCTGCTCCCTGAGTGTGCCATGGGACACCTGCCCTCCGAGACCTCCTTTTCCTGTCGACCTTGGGTCTTTCTTCAACTGAGGAAAGCATCGTTCAAGAGGGGTGTGAAGGGAGTCGAGTTTTTGTCTTGAGATCTAGCTCACACCTCAAAACGCAGTCATGTTTCTCACGTCGATGTAACACACCGGTTACCTCCGGCACCAGTCTGCGGGAACACTGGTGGAAATGTGAGATCTTTCCATCAGAAAGTGCGCTGGGAACTCTAGGACGGCTACCGAAGCGTTGGCTTAGATGACTTTAGAAAGCTAGCACACTACTAGCCACGGGGTCAAGAATTGTATTTTTTAAATGCACTTTTTTCACTGTCCGGTTTGTGAAGCCAGCGACTAAAGATGAAGGTTCCGGATTCGTTTTCCATGTAGGATTTCCTCCTCTCGGGGCTGGTTGGCCCGGTGCGGGAGTAGCTCAGAGGTGCGGGTGCATTGGTTTGCGGTTGGGAGAGTGGGAAGAGACTTAGCATTAGGTTTCAACTTCCATACCCTCCAGCCCTCCCATGCCCTGGCAGCACTTCCATGCCATTCTCACCGAGCAGCGGGTCTCAGGCACTAACCACGCTGCGCCTCTCAGAGTGTCTCTGACTCTCCGCCTCCTCTCTCCCGCCTGCTCTCCTTCCGTGGCGGCCCTGGCTGCCAGGCTGGTGTGGACAGCAGTGTGGACATCCTTGAGTGTCCTCTGACTGTAAGTCCCCAGCGCTGCTCTGCACCAAGAGAGCCCAAGCTTTCCTTCCATCCTGCGCACCCCGCCTGAGCCCCCGTCCTCACCCCCACCCCACGCCCTGCCTTCTCCGCGCTTCCTGCAAGTTTTTTATTTTTATTTTTATTTTTTTTTAACCTGGACTTCGTGGCTGTGCTTTTGAATCCTGGTTGAGGTTCTTCTCTACTCAGCAAGAGTAGCAACACTAAAGACTCCATCCCCCCCCAAACCCCACCCCCCAGCGCCTTCCTGAATGCGAGCAGTATTTCTGTTTTTGAATGTTGGCAACAAGATTGTGTCCAACTGTTAACTCTCCCGAGTGCCCACCTGTCAATATCAAGAAAGGGCACCCGGGACTCCTTCCGTCTCATACAGTCACCACAGGCCCGTGTGCCAGCCGGGCAGCTGGGGCCCTCAGCGCGACCAGCAGAGCGGGCTGGCAGTGCCCAGTGTGGGCTCCATGGCCAAGCATCTGCCCAGGTGTCTGGCCGAGGCCGGGACCCCGGCCACCCATTCCCTCGCACAGACTGCTCTTGAGGGCCGGGGTGCGGACTGATCGCTCCCTGCTTTTGCACAGGCCGAGAGGAAAGGGAGACCTGGATCTTTAAAGCGATGCTTCTCTATTGCTGAAGCTCATGCTGAGGCCCATCACTCAGTCACGTGTAGAGGAGCCAGGAGCAGTGAGCCCCTCCTGAGGGGACCTCGCTTTCCGTGGAGAGCTCAGTGTGCATCTGGCACCCACCTTATCCCGGGAGGAAGACATGCCTTAAAAAGGAGAAAAGGTGGCAGGCACCAGGGCTCCTTTCTTTTCTGTGGACATGGCCTTGTTTGCCAAACAGAACATTCAAAAAGTCACCTGAACCCCCTGGCTCTGTGCGTCCCCAAGAAATACTGCTGACGCCCCGTTAGGAGGCTCCCCGGGGCTAATCATTTCGGAGCGGACCTTTCTAACCTCGGCTCTCATGGGGTGCCTTCCGTCCACAGGAGATGGCCAACATCCTGGCTCAGAAGCAGCTGCGCTCCATCATCCTCACGGTGAGTGCTGGGCCGTGTGCTGGGCCGGGGAGGGTGGCTGGTGCATGGTGTGTCTCTTCCAGGGGTTTTAGTCGTGGCTGGTTCTGGGACTCACTTCTGTGGGAAACAGTAGGACCCATTTTGAACCTCACGCAATGGGTCTTGATAGGCAGGTCCCACTTCCAACCTCAAACAATGGTAGTTGAGGGGAGGGACCAACTTCCACCTTCACCCAATGGTGGTTGAGGGGCAGGACCCACTTCGATCCTCACCCAATGGTTGTTGAGGTTTGGGTCCCACTTCCAACATCACCCAATGGTTGTTGAGGGGCGGGACCCACTTCCAACCTCAACCAATGGGGTTCGAGGTTGGGACCCACTTCCAACCTCACCAATGGTTGTTGAGAGGCAGGACCCAAATCCAAACACACCCAATGATTTTCAGGGGCGTGTCCAATTTCCAACCTCACTCAATGGTTGTTGAGGGGTGGGACCCACTTTGAACCTCACTCAATGGCTATTGAGGTGTTCGTCCCACTTCCAACCTCACCCAATGGCTGTTGAGGGGCGGGACTGACTTGCAACCTCACCCAATATTTGGTGAGGGGTGGGAACCAATTACAACTTCACCCAATGGTTTTTGAGGGGCGGGACCCACAAACCAGTCTTTGGGCTGATGCTCTTACCACTGAACGTAATTGGCCAGACCTGTTAATTACCTATTTAAAAATGAAACTTTTTATTTTGGAATGATTCTAGATTTACCCCACAATTGCATAGTGAGTATCGGGTTCCTGCACATAGGTCTGCATAGCTAGTCTCTCCTGTTGTTTCCAGCTAACAAGTGAACCCAGGTGCCGTGCTTGAACTGGACTATAGACTTGAGTTTCCCTAGTCTTTCACTAATAGCCCTTTTCTGTGGGAGGATCTACCCAGAACCCCGCACAGCTTTCAGCCCCCTCTGTGCATTGTCTCTCAGTCGTCCTTG